CCCATTTTTGTTTCTACCATCACCGGGGATCCTAGCACTATCGCACTCTTCGGACACCCCTGCCGTCCGATTTTTTCCTCTAGAGTCAGAGCATTGGACTGTCCTCGCGTCCGATACAAAAATATTTGTATAAAATTAATTTTTTATCTGATCGACTTCGGGCTAGTTTCAAAATCAGCGCCTTTAGAGTGCGCACAATTTGATACCAAAATGAAAGATGTAACACGAAACTTGATTTCAGAACACGTGAAAGATTATAAATACGTTTTTGGTAAAAATTTTAAAATGTTTGTTAAAATTCTATTTAGTGTGCTATTATTATGGGACTAGTTTTAAAATGCATGCCTTTAGATTGCAAACAATTTGATACCAAAATGAAAGATGTAACACGAAAATTTATGTCTGAACACTGGAAAGATATAATTAATTTTGTGATGATTAGCGTCCAAAATTAAAATATTTGTTAAAAATTCCAGTTATTGCTCTATTATTATGGGACTAGTTTTAAAATACGTGCCTTTATATTGCGAACAGTTTGATACCAAAATGAAAGACATAACACAAAAATTGATGGTATCAAACTGAACGAGTATACACATAAGCCTGAGGTGTGCAAATTGGTGCTCCTTCCAGGTAACTTTAGGCTTTGCTGCGGGGAGTGACGCCGGGCTTTTGGACATTATATGCATATACACCTGCAAGGAATTTAATTGCGAACACAATATACCAAAATGAACGACATAGCACGAGTATTAAGGTGAAAAAACTGAAACGAGTATACACAATTTACTGATTTTGTGCGCTCTTGGGTAACTTTTGCTGAATTTAGGCTTTGCTGTGGGAAGTCAAGTGAGGCTTTTGGACATTATATACATATACACCTGTAGGGAATTCTATTGCGAACACAATGATACCAAAATGAATGACGTAGCACGAGAATTAAGGTGAGAAAACTGAAACGAGTACTGTATACTGTACACATTTCGGTGTCGAAGCGTGATCGCCCACACGCTCGCCCGCACGCCAAGGGCATGACCTTTAAGTTGGCGGAGCACATGCCGGGGGTGCGAAAGTGCTAGGATTACGAGTCCAGAGCGCTGTTCACTCTGCTATTAGGCCCCCGTGTGGTTTGAAGTATTCTATGTCTGCCATCGACCGGGTCAGGCACCCAGAAATGTAGGCACCCCAAAACAAACCCTATCTGGTTGAAAAATTGCTACAAAAAGTCGAACTGTTGGACAGACTCCCCAAACGAAAAATGAGCAAATGAGCATGACGTCATAACTGTCACCGCGCCCCTGTCTACGTGGCTTTTCCCTCCCAGAGGGGAAAGGGGGAGCTTCAGACACCCGTGCCAGCTATCCACACCCTTAGTTCTGTGGCTGATGTGAGACCTGGCAGTCGTGCGATTCTGGCTCCAGGCTTGTTCCAGTGCTGTGGCTTGTGGTGTGGTCCTGTCCTGTGGTGGTGTGAGAGCCAGGAGTATTTTCATCAGTACTTGGGCTGCATGCACCTAGGGTTATCTTCCTTAGGTGCCTTGTAAGTATTGCCCTTGTGGCTTGGGGTTATCTTCCACAAGTCGCCTGGGATCTACTTCTGCTGTGGTCTTCTGCTGCTCAATGTTTGCCTGCCCTTGGAGTCAGCTGGGGTGTTTCATGCGCCCCTATTTGCCTCTGGGTAGGAGGTAGCTTCATCACTGGTAGGAGCACAAGGTACTATGCAGCTTGTTTTCACCATAATACAGTGGGCAGCTGTGTTCCGCCTGGAATGTTGTACTAGGACGGAGTTTTTCTTTTATTTATGTTTTCTGCCTGGTGGGGGTCTGCCCCTTGGTGTTGTTGACCCTTATTATTTTGTATTCTTGATGATCCTCCACCTAGGTCCCAGGTTGTGTACACGTCCCCAGGGGTTCAGCTATGAGTTGTTTGCTTGGTAGTTTGGGTCGCCGGTTAGCAGCACCTTGCCTGGGCTTCCCTTAGAAGAGGGTCTAAGGGCCCTGGAAAACCCCACTGGTGCAAAGTGGTCTGATGGATGCGTCCCCTGAGTCCCATTTCGCTTTGTGCGAGTTTGAGGGCTGCTCTGTCCTCTTTTCTCGGGGGGTGACAATCGCCTGTTCTGCCTCCATCATGCTGCCTGTTGGGTCGGTGACACCATCAACCCGGAGTCCTATGAGTGGTGTTGCTTGTATGTACTCCGCTTCACCCAATCCACTGATGATATTCAGGTGCAGGCAGCTTCGGGGTTGCATGCTCGTTATAGGTTGCTGCAGCGCTCTGTCCCCTTGTCTGAGGGTGACTCTCACTGTTTTGCCTCCGTCTGCTGCCTGTTGAGTTGATCGCAAAAACCAAAAGTCCTGTGAGTTTTGTTGCTTGTTTGTGACTCCATTACCCAATTCCAATTTTATGCTGACTATACGGGTGCAGGCGGCACGGGCATTGCATGTTGGGTTCAGATGGTTGCAACGCGCTAGGTTGTTTGCTCCCCAGAAGCCCGGAGGCTGCCCCGTTTCAATTATTATGATGGGGCTTGGGGGTGTTGGTCGCTTCGGTTTTGTTTCCTTCCGTGCTCCCCCCTTGACCTGTTGGGGTTTAGTCTGGTTCCCCCCAACCCTATTCCTCCCTGCATCCAGATCTTAACAGTCTGTGGGTTCGGGGCGGGGATTCAATGGTCTTGAGACTTGGGCGGTCACGGGGATTTCCCCTTTTGGGGTTAACGACAGAGGCATTCGAGCATGTTTCTCCAGCTGTGTTGTATGAATCTGCCAGTGGGCTTCCTCCCTTAGTATTTATCCGGCTGCCCTAGCTTTTTCTTGCGAGGCTGGGGCTTAGGGAGACGGCTCGGCCCTGGGGCCTGCCGTGGAGGTTCCCGGGGCTGGGGAAGGACTGACTTTGGGGGCTTCGGGCCCCGTTGGACACCCGCTGGGTTTTTTTCTATCCTCTGTGCGAGGCTTGCGGTTGCGGGGAGTGGGGTTTTTCCTTATCCCCCTCTGCGAACGAGTTGTTGGGCGTCGGCCCCTTCCCAAGTTCTGGGAAGGGGCCGAGTTCGGTTCCTTACCCCTTCGGGTCCGTTGGTTCCATAATATCGGTGGGTGCTCTTCTGTTTTCTCGCCCTTCTTCTCTGGGATGGGACTTCTCCGTCATGTCGGGGTCATGTTCCCCTCGTATCGGGGTTCTGCATGACCTTTCGTTTCGGGTGAAACTGTACCTTTATGAGCCTTTGTGGTTTTGTACTTGCTTCTGTAGGTTCTGGAAGATCTTCAATTCTTCCCGTATTATTGGAACGTCTGTCTTCTTCCGGTGAGGCTTACCGCCAGTCCTTTCTAAGATTCATTAGTCCTCTTCCATGCTTCTTGGTTTTCGGTACTGTCTCGTTCTTTTGTGATTATATCTTCTCTCCGTGCTCTGTCTCGGCACTGCTAATACCCCTTAAATACTCCTAGTTAGGGCCCGCCCTGCCGAGCGGGTTGTGCAGTTTGGACGTCATGCAGCCTGCACATGCATCTAATAGGGGGTACATTTGTTGTGTTAGTTGACTCTTCACGAAGAGTCAACTAACACAACACATGTACCCCGTATTAAACTATTTTACAGGAACTTCTTTTCGACGGCTCATAAAACGGAGGGAAGGGTCCTGAAAGATATTGTTGATAGGAACGTTATTCCCTACAGACAAAAATAAAAAATACAATTGATGATTTACTACAAAACCAAGAAAATGGCCATTCTACTCATGAAGAACTCTCCAGACACCAAGCATAACACCTTGAAGGAGACCAACGTCATCTATGCCTTCAAATGCCCACTTGGGGACGGTAAGCCCCAAAGAACTCGGTATATAGGCAAGACAACGTCTCTTTCCAGGCGATTAACAATGCATGAATAACAGGGCTCCATCAAGGAACATATAATCTTTCCCCACAACCAGACCATCACCAGAGAAATCTTAACAAACACAGAAATCATCGATAGATACAGCGATAGCAGGAGGCTCAACATCTGCGAGGCACTACACATCAAAAAGTCAACACCAGCAATCAACAGCCAATTAATGCACAACTTTATTCTACCCACTTCAAGACTCCGAACCAGTATAGAAGCATCAAGAGGAAGTGGTGATGCTATGGGCCATTAGGCCTTCTGCAGTTACAGTACTTCCATTCTTATGTTTTTATACCCATTGGTTCGTGTTCTGTCTTGGGTAAATATCAATCACCTCACCCAAATGCGAGTATAAGTATGGATGTATTTACAGGTTACAGTTGTGTATGAAAACTAAAGTCTTTGAAAATGTAATAAGTTATTATGAAACGCGTTCAAGCGTCGCGTCAGACTAGAAATAAAAATGAATTTTGGAGAACTGATTTTTCAATTACCATCGACAGTGAAAAGAAACATAAGAAATATTGAGAAAATTCGCGTTAGAATTATTAATCTTACCTTTTCGGTCATATTTAACAAATATTTACAAGAGAAACTGCTACCAATATATATATATATAATTATAAATACTGTATAAAAATAAATATGGTAGGATGTAGGCTAAAATAAATCCAGCCAGAGGTGGTACTCTTTAATATTAAATAAAATAAATAACAATACATATACAGTACATACAAATATAGGTAATACATAAATAAATAAATATAGTGAATTCGTATTCAGGAATTCAAAGATGGATGACGTATTTTAGCATCAATGGAAACTTGACTGTCAACGTACAGATGATGCATTTTTGCATCATCTGAATGCTAGATTATCAATTGGAAAAGATTTGAATTGTGTCAGTCAATTTTTTTGTCTTTTGGTTTTTATGTGCTATATGTTGGTGACTGGTTTGAGGCGGGTGGGGGGGGGGGTGGACTCTCATGCATGTTTGGTGACTTGTTCTTTTTAACTGTGCATTATTTTATATCAGCTTGACATTGACTTAGACTGTAAGTGTATTTATGTAATGGTACTAATAATATATTTTATTTAATCTATTGTTCTAACATTTTACAGGATTCTGTTATGAGCATTGTTAAAAGGGAAATGAAATCTGCTGGACTGGTTTTAAGTTCAAGAGAGCTGAATCGTGCTAGAAGAAAAGCGAAGTTATTGGCTAAACAAAAATCTGTGGATGTATCTGAATGTGTATGTATTAATGTTTTATTGAATGTGTGCTTATTAATGATTTGTTCATTGTTTTTATTAATATACTGAATTATTAAAGTGAATAGCAAAGCATTTGTTCCAACAATTTCTTAATTACATACATAATTTTTCTTGTGTCCATTCCAGCCCTTACCTACAGCTTATTTCACTTAGTTCAACAGTAACATTTGAGTGTGGAATTATTATGAGTTTGATAAACTTTGTTATGATATTGGTCATGAAAACAGAGGTAACTTGACTATTATTTCTTAGCTCAAAATTATTATAAGGAGACATTAGATCTCAAGTTTGGATTGAGTTATATATTGAGATAGCATATACAATCTTTATTAATATTAGTTTAGTCATGTATTATTCACCCCATACCCATCCCGTGGGCAGTGGTGGACAGGGTTACAGATGCACATAATGGATTCAGAGCTGAACTCTACATTTCATTTAGCTATGCAAGTTACAATCTTGTGATACTAGTTATACAACTTTTAATACACAAACACATAATTGTGACCACGAGGCAAGAAGTCTGGGAAAGGAGTAGACAATAGGAAAAAGACATTGCAGGAGTATAAGGGAATATCTGGGAGAAGTGCAATTAGAGGAAGAACTAGGAAGAAAACCAGTACACGATATGAGGGGCCTAGTCAAGTGGAAATGCAAGGAGGCAGAAAAGTTTTATACATACAGTAAGGGAAAAAAGTAGGAGGGAATATAATACAGTAACCCATGGTTTAATAGACAGTGTCAGTAAGCAATAATGAGGAGGAGGGAGTGGAGAAAGTACAGAAGACAGAGGACAACAAGAATATATGCAACAGAGCTAGACACGAATACGTTGACCAGACCACACACTAGAAGGTGAAGAGACGACGACGTTTCGGTCCGTCCTGGACCATTCTCAAGTAGATTGTCAAGTGTGTGGTCTGGTCAACATACTTTAGCCACGTTATTGTGACTCATCGCCTGCATATAGACACGAATGCATTAATATAAGAAGAGATTCAGAACGAAATTACGAAAACGACATTGCACTCAAAGCCAAAAAGCAACCTAAATTACTACATAGCCATATAAGAAGGAAAATGTCGGTGAACGACCAAGTGACAAGACTAGGGTAAACAGAAGGGGCATATACAGAAAGCGACCAGGAAATTTGTGAGGTACTGAATGCCAGTTTCCATGGAGTGTCCAACCGAGCCTGAGCAGCTCCCGTTGTTGGAAGAGAAGATTGACTTAGACTTAGTCTCTCACGTTGAGAGACTATCAGATATAGAGGTGACAGCAGAGGAGGTAATGAAACAACTAACACTGGATGAAACTAAAGCAGTTGGACCAGACAACATATCACTGTGAATACTAAAATTAAAGATCCTTGCTAGAGGCACATGAGTCAATTACGATAGGAGAGATGCCCAGTTGCTGGAAGAAGGCAAATGTGGTATCAATTTTCAAGAAAGGAGATGGGAAAGAGGCACTTAATTACAGACCAGAATCAAAATCCTTTGATATAGTAATGCACAGGAGACTGGTATTCAAACTTGAGAGGCAGGCAGAAGTAAATGGAAAAGCCCTAGCTTGTTTAAAGAATTGCTTAACAGGCAGGAGCCAAAGAGTAACAGTCAGGGGGCGAGAAGTCAGACTATCGAACTGTGACGAGTGGAGTACCTCAAGGATCGGTGATGGGACCAGTTCTATTTCTAATATATGTGAACAACATGTCTGCAGGAATAGAGTCCTGTATGTCAATGTTCGCGGATGACTCTAAATTAATGAGACCAGTTGTGACAGATAAGGATTGTTGGATCCTCCAAGAGGACTTGAACAAGCTCCAGAGATGGTTATCTTATCTTGAGATTATTTTGGGGCTTAGCGTTCTCGCGGCCCGGTCCTCGACCAGACCTCTTTTTTGTTACACACCCCAGGAAGCAACGCAAAGCAGCTATCTTAACTCCCAGGTACCTATTTTTACTGCTATGTGAACAGGTGCATCAGGGTGAAAGAAACTGTCCATTTGTTTCCACCTCCACCTGGGATCGAACCCAGAACTTTAGGCCTACAAATCCCAAATGCTGTCCACTCGGCTGTAAGGCATTCCCACCCCTTGGGGGTGAGAGAAAAGGCTACTAGAGTTCAACATGAGTAAGAGTAAAGCTATGAAAATGGGACTAGGTGACAGGAGACCAAAGGGACAGAACACAATGAACGAGAACTACCTACCTGAGACAATTCAAAAAGAGACCCGGGAGTGGACGTATCACCAAATCTAACTCCTCAGGCACACATAAATCGGATAACAGCAGCAGCGTACTCTACGCTAGCAAAAGTTGGAATGTCATTCAAAAACCTAAGTACTGTACAGAAGCACTGAGGGTGCTTTACACTGCCTACATGAGACGAGTCTTAGAGCATGCAGCCTCCACCTAAAGAAACACATTAGGAAACTGGAAAAGATTAAAAGAATTGTGACGAGGCTAGTCCCAGAGTTGCATGGGGATGGGATATGAAGAGCGCCTGAAGGAACTGAACCTGACAGTGCTAGAAAAGAGGATGGAGCAGGGAGATATGATAGAAACATATAAAATGCATAGAGAGAGTGACAGAGTGGAAATAAATTAAATGTTCACACTGAATGCCAACATAACCTACTGGGAGTGCCGGTGCCAACCGGGCTGTGGTGGATACGTGGGCCTGCGGGCTGCTCCAAGCAACAGTCTGGCGGACCAAGCTCTCGCAAGTCAAGCCTGGCCGCGGGCCGGGCTTGGGGACTAGAAGAACTCCCAGAATCCCATCAAGTAGGTATCAAGCGGGCATGGGTGGAAGCTGGAAACTCAGATGAGTCATAGAGATATTAGAAAGTTTTCTTTTATCATGAGAATAGTGGGAAAGTGGAGTGAACTAAAGGAGTATGTTGTGGAAGCAAACACTATTAATAATTTTTAAACTAGATAGGGATATAGGACAGGAGTCATTGCTTTAGATAACCCGTTGATAGAAAGGCAGGATCCAAAAGCAACTGCTCAATCCTGCAGGCACAAATAGTTGAGTACAAATCTATGGCAGATTTGTAAATTTCATTCTGAAGACCTTCATATATCACCACGACGAGCAGGCCACAAGAGTGAGGGAAGGCGATGTTCCATCAGTACTGGATACTGGAATCACCAGGAAAGAGGAGGAGGAGGAGATATTTGACTTCAAGTGAAAGAGATCACTCGCTTGGGAAATATTGATCATGTCCTGTTGGAAATTAAATATGCTTTGCGATGTAATCTAGAAGAGAATAGGGACATTGAAGCAGCTGATAAACTTGATTTCAAGAGAGGACACTATGGTAAACTTAACATTCTTTAATGAATTTAATTGGAAAGACTTGTTGCTAGACAAGGAAGTAAATCAGATGTGTGCCAAATTCTGTGAAATATACGATGAAGGCACAACAAAATTTATATCAAGACAGAGAGCAGAACCTGAAAACAGCATTGAGTCAACATAAATTGTGAGATGGCCAGAGAGGATCAGACAAGAAAATGGGTACAATGTTGTAAGAGACCTAACCCTGAAACATACAGGCAATCAAGAAATACACAGCAGTGAGGAGAGTCAGAAAGGAACTTTGAGAAAGGAGTAGCAGACAAATGTAAAACGGATCCAGGCCTTTTCTGTAAATTCATTAAAACCAAGTTGCATGTAAGGTATAAAATCCATGAGATTGAGAATGGGGGGATAGGTTCACTGAAAATGAAAAAACAATGTGCGAAACACTAAATGAACAGTTCCAAAGTACAAAAGTCTATGTACAAAATGAAGATTTCAAAGAGCCAGACCCAATGCAAATTCCAGAGAACCCCATTGAATACATAGAGGTATCTCAAGATGAAGTGGAAAATTTACTCAAGGGGCTAGGAAGAAATAAAGATGTTGGACCAGATGGGGTTTCATCTTGGGTGCTGCAAGAATGTGCAACTGAGCTGAGCATTACACTCAAATTGACTTTGCGAACATCCTTGTGAACAGGAATCTTAGCAGATATATGAAAAAAGGCAAACCTAGTTCAGATCTATAAAAATGGTAGCCGAGAAGACCCCACTAAATTATAGACCTGTATCATTAACAAGCCTGGTAGTCAAAACACTACAAAAAATAGTTAAAACCAAATGGGTTTTACCCATTTTTACCCATTTACCCATTACCTAGAAAGTAATGACATATTAACAGCCAGGTAGTATGGTTTTCAAACAGGAAGATCGTGTGTAACAAATCTACTTAGATTTATGATATTGTCACTGAGATAGTACACGAAAGAGATGGTTAGGTTGACTGTGTCTATCTGGACCTGAAAAAAGGCTTTTGACAGAGGCCCCCACAAGAGGTTGTTTTGGAAACTGGAACAAGCGGGAATGGTGACAGGGAGAATTCTGACTTGGACGAAAAATTTCTGACAATAATGAGGGCGGTAATGAGAGACAGTGTATCTGACTGGAGGAGTGTTACTAGCGGAGTACCACAGCATTCAGTTCTTCCACCAGTAATGTTCATTGTCTACATAAACCATTTACCAGAATTATATGAACATGTTTGCTGATGATGCTAAGATACTGGGGAAGATGGGAAACAGACAATTGTCATGACCTTTAAATGGATCTATATAAAATAAGTGCTTGGAGCACCATGTGGCAAATGGAATTCAGTGGGAATAAATGTCATGTTATGGAATGTAGAATAGGATAAAATAGATCACGCACAACTTTCAAATTATGTGGAAAGGACTTAAACAAGAGTTATGAGGAGTGGTTAGAGGCATTAAATATGCCAAAGCTATAAGATAAAAGAGGAAGAGGCGATACAATCTCCATGTACAAAATAATAATGGGAATCAACCTAATTGACAGAGGCATTCCTGAAACTGGCAACCTCAAGAACAAGAGGTCATAGATTCAAGCTAAGGAAACAAAGGTGCCAAAAAATATTAGAAAGTTTTCTTTTGCAATAGATTGGTAGATGGTTGAAACAAGTTAAGTGGGAAAGTTGTGGAGGCCAAAACCATCAGTAGTTTCAAAGCGTTATATGAGAGAGTCCTGGGAAGACGGGACACTACGAGCGTGGCTCTTGTCCTGTAACTAGGGCGCCTGACAGCTGGGTGGACAGCGCTTCGAATTCGTAGTCCTGAGGTTCTGGGTTCGATCCCCGGTGGAGGCGGAGACAAATGGGCAAGATGTTACCTAGCAGTAAATAGGTACCTGGGAGTTAGACAGCTGCTACGGGCTGCTTCCTGGGGTTGGAGGCCTGATCGAGGACCGGGCCACGGGGACACTAAGCCCCGAAATCATTTAAAGATAACCTCAAGATAACTATACTAAGGTAATTACAATTAGGTAATTACTGTGCTAGTATTCAAATGAAGGCTCACTGGTATAGCCATTATGATTTATTCACTGCTGGGTGAACAGAGGCTATAGTTAAGGATTGGCACCCAGTAAAACCTCCCAGGGCAGGATATGAACCAAAGCCAAAGCACTCGCGAAACGCCAGGCGAGTGTGTTACCACTTCGCCACGGGAACTGTTTATTTATTTATGTGCTTCATGTGTTTTGCTTCACTGAAAAGGATCCTTGAAATATGTAACTGGGCCTTGATATTGTTACAAGTGTTGCAGCTGTACTAGTAATGGTTAGTTTGCACAAGCATAACCATTCATTGTGTTACAGTATGGAATTTTATTCACAGACAACTGATGAAGGCCCTGAGAAGAAGCGTGTCCGTATGGCAAGTGTGGTGAGCATGGAACAAGCCGGTAGTGATGATGATGAACGAATGGTTGTGGATGAAGGGCCAGTTGGTCTCAACATTTGTGATGAGGTGAGATTTATATATTGTTTACTGATATAAAATGAGAAAAATGCTTTTCTTTTTTTGGTTATACATTGTCCTTGAGTTTGGTAAGGAAAGCCATGTTCTGCCAGCGTTGGTTGAACTATCATGGGACACAGATTTTTTTTTTCTCATCTTCCTCCCAAGATCCTGCTCACTTGACATTAACTATAAATGCCAGCTCTGAGTCCATGGATGTTCGAGGTTTTCACAAATAATACCTCCTGGTAAAGAATCCTCTTAGTGTGGGATATCACTGTGTTTCACCTCTTGCATGTGTTGGTATTCACAAAGAAATATTTGCAAATGCACACAGTCACTTAAACACTACTGTGGACTTGGTTTCTTTGTCCTTTTGAACTCTCAGAAAACTTATGCAAAGGGGCACAAGTTTATAATGAACAGTACTTTGTTGTTCCAAACCTGCTCTGGTGCTCATCTCAAATGACTCCACTGCCATCAAAATGTTGGGATGTAGCCATTAGACAAGGTCCACTCACACTAGGTCCTGTTCATGGACCTTTGTAGCTTTAGTCGTGTTCACTGCCAGCTTTCCTCTTGACTTCGTTAAATTTGTCAATATTGGCTGTAACAGAGAACTGGGCTGATAATTCCCTTTGGTCCACTTGATGATCCAATTCCTTCATCCCTCTTTACCCTCCAAAAAATATGCCGAGGCTCAAATAAACTAGCTTGGGCCATTCAACAGGTATACAACGCGTTAGGATACTCTCAAAGGGGCACATCTAGTGAGAGAGCCCCTTGTTTCATAATATATGGGCAGAGAGTAAGTGTCCCGTTCAGTCATGGAACAGACTCATGCCAGGCCACCTTCTTTTGGTTGCCTTGTCATATGACAATGTTGTTTCCTCCATTTGATGTTGCAACTGTGCCATGCTTCATCTCAAATTCTAAAATGTTCTAGTAGAAATATAGAAACTTTAGAATAACCTGTCACCTTAACCCTTAAAGTGCGCATCACTTCATATGAAGTGTAAATCGTTTTACCAGTCAACTGCGCTTCACGTCATATGAAGATTATGGGTACCGCGCACGATTTGAATGGCCCGCGGTGTAGCTGGGGGTCCCATACGCTGCCCAGGGGCTCTAGTAAACAGCGGCCATTTTGAAAAAAAATCCCGCTCACGAACCGAAGGCATGGGAGGCCTCAGTTTAGCGAGAGTCACCATGGCGAGCGCACGGTCAAACGCCTCACGGGCACGCACCACTCAGTCCCTCACCCCAGAGCAAATAGCCCACGAATTATTCTCTGAAGGTGAAGAAAGTGTGTTTGACGATTCAGACAACGATGAGGATTATACACAGTTGTCGGGTGATAGTAGCAGCAGCAGTGAAAGTGAGAATGACCGCCATGCCATGGCGAGGCCTCTACGCTCACCCATGCCTCCTCGGCCAGTTTCTACCCCAATTCTACCACGACCTCACAGTTCCTGTGGATATTTTCTGTTTGAGGGTGACGAGTCAGAGGGAGGTGACTCCTTTTCTGGGTTTAGTGACTCAGATCAAAGTTTTATTGAGCCTGTGGCTGGTACCAGTGGTGTAACTGGGCGAGAAATTGTCGCGTCAGCAGCATCTCGCCCGGCCAAGCGCCACCGCATGGCACCACATGAGGGACCAAGACCCTCGTGTTCACGTGCATCCACCTCACGTGCATCCACCTCACGTGCATCCACCTCACGTGCATCCACCTCACGTGCATCCACCTCAAGTGCATCCACCTCACGTGCACCCACCTCACGTGCACCCACCTCACGTGCACGTAGCCGCCGTGCTTCTCGCAGACGGTATTCAGCTCCTGGTCGCCGGTATGCATCGCTTCCTCGCCGTCTTTCCTCTGCATCTCGCAGGACGCCTGGTGTACTTGAGTGGAGTGATGGTGACGATTTTATTCCTAATATTCCTCACTTTGACGATAAAGATGTAGGGATTACAAACCTTTTCCCTAATCAAGGTGAGGACATGGCTGAGATGGAATATTTTACAGCATTCTATGATGAACCACTCATGGAATACATTGTACACCAAACGAACCTGCATGCTGCTTACCTGATTGAGAGGGAAATCACAGAATTTTCACGACTGCAGCGTTGGAAAAATACCACAGTGGCGGAAATGTATGTGTTTTTGGCACTCTGTTTGTTGATGAAGCACTGTCACAAACATGCAATAAATGACTATTGGAGCAAGGACAAGACAATACCAACACCTTTATTCGGGAAATATATGTCACGAGACAGGTTTCAGATACTCCTCAGGTGTCTACATTTTGGAAGTGTTCAGGACCGAACACCTGATGATAGACTGTGGCGAGTGAGGCACTACATGAACGATGTTATTGGAAAATTCAGAGATTTTTACGTACCAGCACAGAAGCTGGTGGTTGATGAATCTCTCATACTTTTCAAGGGACGTGTTCCATTCAAACAGTACATTCCCTCAAAACGAAACCGATTTGGCCTGAAATTTTTTGTTCTTTGTGATTGTGAGACAGGATACGTGTTACACATGATTCTGTACTCGGCTAGTGATGTAGACATTCCCGGTAACGACGAACATGGATTCTCGGGGAGTGTAGTGAAGACCATCATGGCTCCGTGGATGAACAAGGGACACATTTTATACACAGATAATTACTATACAAGTCCCTTGCTAGCTCGGTTCTTGCTAGAAAATAGAACCGGATTGGTTGGTACAGTAAAGCCACAACGAAGGGAAATGCCTGTGTTTGACAACGACATTGCAGTTGGTGAGTGTCAGAGAAGGAAAAGTGATAACATTCTGTCAGTTCGGTGGAAAGACAAAAGAGAGGTGAACTTGTTGACAACAATTCATGATGGAACAATGGTGAACAGTGGGAAAGTGAGCCATAAAACAAACGCACCACTATATAAGCCAGACTGTTTTAGACTATAATATCAACATGCGGTTGATTGATAAATCAGACATGATGATTGGCACTGCAGAGTGTGTGCGGAAGACATGTAGGTGGACGAAAAAAGTGTTCTTCCATCTTGTGGACATGAGCATGCTGAACTGTTTCAACATGTACCTTGTGAGAACTGGACGTAAGCCCACTTTCCGTGACTTTGTATTTGATGCTGCAATACAGTTATTAGGAAAGTTTGCAAAAGATGTCCCAGGTATTCAGCGGCCCATCATAAACCCACTGTTGCAGCATGCTGGTACTCCACGCCTCGCTCACACTGAAGGCTTCCTAGCACACAAACTTAAGTATTTGCCACCTGGTGTGAAGCGTGCAATAGCCCAACGTGATTGCTTGGTGTGTAAAACAACGACACGTAGAGACAAGAAACGGAAGCTTGTGCAAACATGGTGTGAAACGTGTGGTATCCCATTATGTGCTGTCGACTGCTTCAATGACTACCACAGTCTAGAAATCTTCTAAGTGTGCTTCAAAGTGTGTATAGCGTGTGCGAGTGTGTAAATATGTAAACATATAAGCAGATAGCGTGTGCGTGTGTGTAAATATATACAAATATAAGCAGAACATACAATATAATAGACTGTAATGACATATTATATTGCCGTAATTGAAAACATTTGTGTGCGCCTGTGTATACTCAAATATGCAACAATTATTGATACAAAATATGTTCAAACAGTATTTGAAACACAATTAGTGAAAAAAAATTAGATAAAATGCGCTTAGACATTGTAAATAAATAGCGCGAAAATATATTTGTGGCAACTCTGGCTGTTTGAGGACCGCGCGCAACACCTCCCGGGCGTGTACTGCATGAGCGAACATGCAGATTGTGACGTCATCACCGAGCTTTTCGGCTCTATTGCAACAAAAGTAAGTACAATAGAATTTTTTTTTTATTTTTCCCGTGATCAGTGAACAGAACTTAACAGATTAGCAAAAAAAAAAATTTTTTTTTTTTTTTTTCAAAATGACATGCGCCTGTGCGGATGGCAGGATATTAGACCCTGCGAGCATGTTAAGGGTTAAAGCAACCAAGGCCGGCGCACGCAGCATGAGCGAACAGCATTGATGTTCAGCTTGTGACCACAGCATCGCCGAAAAATGTCAAAATAAATATATAATTGTTATTATTTAGCGATGACAATATTACAGATGACCAATGACTGTGATATAAATAACCAGGGTTGTGATAATAGCAGGATTGTTGTAATAATTAGCGCTGTGGGAGGAGTGATGCTGGGAGATGGAGGGAGACAGCATCGTTTACTAACTGTGTGGCTAGCTGTTATTGTTTGCATTCACCATACCAGGTCAGTGGTTCTCTATGGTGAACACAAATGTAGATACTTATATATAATGTGTGTATTAGTGTAATAACAGCAAAAGGATTATGCTCGGAGGAGCCATATGGGTGACGGAGGTGACGTCGTCTGCACGATTTGTCTAGCTGTTTAGAGGGTGGCCACTATGCTCTTTGGGCGCACTACAAGCTTAGGTGTACAGTTACGGTGCATAAAACATGTAGATATTTATATATAATATGTGTATATAGGGTAATAACACTGCAAAAGGTATTGTTGGGGGAGAAAGTTTAGTGTGTGTGACCTTGAAAGAGTGAGGGAGCCGCCAGCCGCCATCTGTGTATAGCGACGACTCTTAGTGCCTGAACTGACTATATCAGCTTGGCTGTACAGTTGTGGTGAACAAAATATATACATACTTATATATAACGTCTGTATATAGTGTAATAACACCACAACTGGTATTGTTGGGGGAGAAAGTTTAGTGCGTGTGACCTTGAATGAGTGAGGGAGCCGCCATCTGTGTATAGCGACGACTCTTAGTGCCTGAACTAACTATATCAGCTTGGCTGTACAGTTGTGGTGAACAAAATATACACATACTTATATATAACGTCTGTATATAGTGTAATAACACCACAACTGGTATTGTTGGGGGAGAAAGTTTAGTGCGTGTGTTGAGGGAGTGGCAGCGAGTGGCTGGCTGGTGTGTGGCGGTA